GGGGGGGGGGGGGGGGGGGGACGCTTTATAGAGGGTCATTTGATGAAGGTTATGTTTCATTTTACGTAGTGCTAAATCTTGTTTTAACTTTATTTTGTCAAGATAAGGACGAGGCTATACGTGGTTTGGAAGCTCTCGAAAAAGGTAAAGCAAAAAATAATCGAATTCCGATTATGCTGATTGGGCAAAGCCGAGGTGGAAAGACTTCCCTGATGAGACGTCTTTTAGGGTTAGCATTAAATCCCTCCGCCATGCCCATGACCGTGGCATCATAACGACAAACGAACAACAGGATAAAAGAAAGGGAATAAATAAGAATTCACACAGCTGCATTAAACATCCTACGAGAAGAAAGACGACGTCTCTACTGGTTCTTCTTTATATAGGCCCAGTATTTGCTGATATAATTATATTATATGTAAGTCCGGCATTATTAAATTTTGCCGTCGTCATGCTGAGGACACTCGACCATATTTTAAATCTACGGTTAATACTTTTCCCGATGGTTTAATACATTTCTTGATTTTAAAATATGCGAGTACGGCATTGATGTTTTCCGTAAAAATCCGATCAGCATTCGAAAAATATTTACGTTTTAGCTTCTTTATGAGCGATTTTCTTCTTGTAGAAGGAAAGCCTTTCCAGGGCATGCAGGAGGAGTATTTTCGAAATCTATTTGTTAAGTAAAGTGGTGTTGGTGCATACTTTTAGAGGCCCGATGGAAAAGTATGTTAATCTGTTCAATTTTACAGCCCCAGGCCTAGGGTTTCAAATTCGTATAATGTGTGCACTGCCAATGGGCCTGTAAATTTGGCTTGTACAAAACAAGTTACCTGATAATATCATCTACTCAAAATTTAGTTCAGGCTATATATCTGGACAAGAGAGCTAGAACAGAACTCCACGTGAAATTTATAATTACATTAATAAAATATAAAGGTCCAATTAACAATTGGCAACTTGCACTAAGAGGTCAGGTGACCTTAATCCTCTTAAAATAGTAGGTATAGAACTACAAATCTACAATGAACATACAGAGTGATGCAAAAGTTCGTAACTTTTGTTTTAAAAACTTCAAAAGAATATCTTACACGTTTAGGGCAGGGCGCTTGGTAGAGGGGGAACGGTTTATAGAGGGCCATTTGATGGAGGTTATATTTCATTTTACGTAGTGCTAATTGCTAAATCTTGTTTTACCTTTATTTTGTCAAGGTCAGGACGAGGAATGGCGTCGTTTGCAAGCTGACAAAAAAGGTAAAGCAAAAAATAATCCAATTCGATTATGTTGATTGGGCAAGGCCGAGGCGGAAAGTCTTCGCTGATGAGACGTCTTTTAGAATTACCATTAAATCCCTCCGCCATGCCCATGCCCATAGCATTATAACGACAAACGAACAACAGGATAAAAGAAAGGGAATAAATAAATTCACACAGCTGCATTAAACATCCTACGAGGAGAAAGACTGCGTCTCTATATTGGTTTTTCTTTACGCCCAATATTAGCTGATACAATTATACATAAGTCCGGCATTATTAAATTCTACCGTCGTCATGCTGAGAACACTCGATCATATTTTAAATCTACGGTTGATACTTTTCCCGGACGGTTTAATACATTTCTTGATTTAAAAATATGCGAGTCCGGCATTGATGTTTTCCGTAAAAACCCGATCAACATTCGAAAAATATTTACGTTTTAGCTTCTTTATGAGCGTTTTTTTTCGAGCAGCAGGAAAGCCTTACCTGGGGATGCAAAAGTAATTTTCGAAATCTATTTGTTGAATAAAGTGGTGTTGGTGCATATTTTTGGAAGTCTGATGGAAAAGTACTTTAATCTGTGCGCACTGGGGCCTGTATATGTGGCTTATACATGCAAAACAACCTGATGATATTATCTACCCAAAATTTAGCTCAGGCTACCCTATATATAGTCTCCCTATAAACGTTTGCTGAAACGAGCTGCACATTCCATTCCCTCCGATCGACTAATCACAGCGAACCTTCTATATTTCGGAAAGTGATGTAGGGGCGGAATAAAAAGTACATAAATATTTTTATGTTTTGGAAGCAGTCGTCGGTTGAATTTTGGTCAAAATTGCGCATAAATTGAATTTAAAGACATTGATACTTGTCCAGCTAGGAAATAAAATGCATAATTATCAGATTCGGATATTAAAGATGTTCGGTTATATTTAAAACGCGGACAGGATGGCAGACTGTATGAAACTAGTGGCGAGATGCGCATCAAATGCCGAATATATTTTGCTGAATATACACAACAAAACTCTATACGTCTTTACATAAGACAACAAAACTCAGAAGACAGAAAATTTGATATAATACTGTGGCTTAGAAAGCGAAATATTAGTTTCAAAGTAAACTAATTTGCTGTTTGAGCAACCACTTCTGACTTGTGAATGTAAACACAACACGAAATTTTATAAAACCCGAGAAACTTTTAAATGCGCCGAGATGAATTTCCAATTCGCCCAAACTTCGAAACGTTTATAGGGTAATGTGGGGCAAAATGAGACACCTAAAGACATTTATTGTTGTAGAATGGAAGGCATAGCAATTTTAATTTTCTTTTTGACTTGGGTATGTGAGGTTGACTCACAGCAAGATATGTACACCATTTGTTAATCAAAATGAGAAAACAAGCTACCATGCATGTGTATGAACGAGCGACCAATAAAACGTAGAGATATGCATGTGGACGGATTTGATGGGGAATTGCATGAAACGTGTATTCAATACAAAAACTTGAATATACATAATCATTCATTATCGCCTAAAGGTTATTCAACGTCAAGAAATAAGCATACAATAGCATGTATATGGGAACCATACAAATCTAGAGATTAGACATCAGAGTCAAGAATGCATTCATTCTAATGAAACGTTGTTTATTAATATTGTTAAGCACCAACAAGCGAACAATAAAATGAATGTATAATCATTACAATGGTCTTAATTGCCAACTGTGTGTTTCTAGTAACAATAGAATTCTTATCAAGTTCATTTAACATAAATATCTTTTCAACTAAACATTACAATACATGTGCGACATCAAGCATTAAATGTCATATCCTTCAACCATGAATGGCCGGCTCCCGTTTACTGTAAGCAGCGTGGAGTGTATATTTGCATGAAGCGGTACCTTTGCCCGCAGTTCGCTGCATTTGTTGTACCGATGTTTCGCTATAAGGCGTCTAGGAGAAGATGGGTTCGAAACTCTTCCTAAGGTAGTCGTCCATTTCTTGCGGCGTTTCTATCACCCATCAAAACGCTTGATTTCGGTGTCTATGTTTTTGTGCGATTCTATTACGCCTGAACACATGCCATGTACCTACACATTGTGCTGTATGTACTGTACAGTAATCTACAGATACACACAAACCATGTTCCATATTTTTTGTTTGTGTGAGACTGCTTATGGTTTAAACCAAGTGCGCAAGCCCTTTCATGTCTCTACAGTATATATACGCCGAGGTGTTAGGAATATTCCACCAATTCATGCCAATTATAGGTAGTGTTTAGTTGAAAAGATATCGGTGTTAAATGAACTTGATAAGAATTCTATTGTTATTAGAAACGCACAGTTGGCAATTAAGATCATTGTAATGATTATAAGTTTATTTTATTGTTCGCCTGCCGGTGCTTAACAATATTAATAAACAACGTCTTCATTAGAATGAATGCATTCTTGACTCAGATGTCTAATCTCTAGATTTGTATGGTACTCATATACATGCTATTGTATGCTTATTTCTTGACGTTGAACACCTTTAGACTATAATGAATGATTATGCATATTCAAATTCTTGTATTGAATACGCGTTTCATGCAATTCCCCATCAAATCCGTCCACATGCATATCTCTACGTTTTATTGGTCGCTCGTTCATACACATGGTAGCTTGTTTTCTCATTTTGATTAACAAATGTGTAAAGCAAAAAAAAAACTGTTTGAAATAATTTATTTGCGATAAATCGGGGAAAACCTAGCAATGGTAATTGTCTTATTTTGCCCCGGCACAGTGGGGCAAAATGAGACAGGGCTAAAAAATTAAAAATAAAGTCAATATAATTATACTTATTTTAATAGAACTTTAGAACTAATTATTAAATACATGTTTCAAATCATTTTGAAGTTCAATGTCACACACACAGGTCACACTGGCTGCGGTAACAGTACAGCATTCTTTGTGACACCATTGTTTGCATTGTGAACAAGTCGTCCAATCCTCGCCAGGCATTGACTTTGACCAAAGTTCACCACAAAGTGATAAATTTTTTAGCCCACCATTGACTCGGCGATTTAATACATCCTAGTTTGGTACCATGTAGGCATTTGCAGCTTTCGTATTGACAGTTCTTTCTTCTCAACTGCAGAGATAGCAAGACAGATTTAATCCTCATTCCAGTTTTCACGTTGAGTTTTGCATACATGGTTCCGGACCATCCTAAATAAAATAAAAGTTAGTTTGATTTGTGACATGGACTAAGCTGTTTATAGCATAAAATATATGACTATGAACTTAGGCCGAGGGAATTAAAGTCATAGAATACCGTCCTTATAATTTCAAAAATAGATGAGGCTTTTTTTCATTATTCATTATTTTTAGAAATGTGTGAAAATTGGTCGAACGTCAATAAACCTGTTCAGTAAAATGCCAGCAATCTTTAAAACTAGGCAGCGAATGCCTGCGAAGTGAAAGCTATGCTGTACAAGTAGACTTTGCCCTTAATACATGACTTCTGCGATGAATTATAGTTTAAAGTGTAGATAATTGTTGAAATAACAAAATATTTTGAAATAATGATTTTTTTGCGGCAGCATTTTGGACATGCGGGCGGAGGACGGTATTCTATGACTTTAATTCCCTCGGCCTTATGATAAATTATAGAATGAAAGTGATTCAATCAGAAATATAAACCCTTTTAACTTTCCCAAGCAGGAGGAAGTGGTATTAAATCAGCAATTGAGGACTTCAATATAACACAGGTAGTACTGGTAATAATCCAAGATAGTATTTATATCATACAGGGTGTATCAAAAAAAGTAAGACAATTTTGAAATTGCTCTCAATTCCACAATTCTGTTCATGAAATGTAATTTTTGCTATATATGGATTGCTTGAGTTCTTAAATTGTGGAAAATATAAAAAATTTTGAAAATAGTAAATTTTGCTATCCAGGGGGGTGGTCAACTTTTGCTCTCCTAAAAGTGGCTTGCGCACGGAAATGACAAACGGTATTCTTTATTTGAATTCATGTATGAAAAGTTCGCTATTTGTTGCATTTATGATAAAATTTCGGCAGGATTTTACCGAGTACAAATCCTCCAAAAAGCCTATGAAAACGTTACATTTTTCTCTGTTGGTGCTGTTCTGGCTTCATTATGAATTCATTTTTACTCCCATGAGAGTTCCGTGGAATTTCCATGGAATTTGTGCTTTCGAGTTGTTTGTGCTGAAACGTATTCTCTCGTATAATACCCCGTACACTTTGAAATGGCGATGCCACAATTTACTCCGCAGCAGAGAGCTTTTATGGTATCAGAGTTCCTCCGTAGCAACAACATAAACTTGGTTCGCCAAAGTTCACGAAAGAATATCCAGATGCATGTACGATGCCCTTCACGTGCGAATACATGAAGGCATCGTACATCTGGATATTCGTTCGTGAAACTTTGGCAACAAGGGCCACAAGTTTATCAGTTTCTAACTGTCGCGTGTTACCCTCAGTAAATAAAGCCTTTCACTTCACTTCACAACCAAGTTTATGTTGTTGCTACGGAGGAACTCTCTGCTGCGGGGTAAATTGTGGCATCGCCATTTCAAAGTGTACGGAGTATTATACGAGAGAATGCGTTTCAGCACAAACAACTCGAAAGCACAAATTCCATGGAAATTCCACGGAACTCTCATGGGAGTAAAAATGAATTCATAATGAAGCAAGAACAGCACCAACAGAAAAAATTGTAATGTTTTCATAGGCTTTTCGGAAGATTTGTACTTGGTAAAATCCTGCCGAAATTTTATCATAAATGCAACAAATAGCGAACTTTTCATACATAAACTCAAATAAAGAATACAGTTTGTCATTTCCGTGCGCAAGCCACTTTTAGGAGAGCAAAAGTAGACCACCCCCCTGGATAGCAAAATTTACTATTTTCAAATTTTTTTATATTTTCCATAATTTAAGAACTCAAGCAATCCATATATAGCAAAAATTACATTTCATGAACAGAATTGTGGAATTGAGAGCAATTTCAAAATTGTCTTACTTTTTTTGATACACCCTGTATAAATGTATCAGTATCTATAATGTCCTCAGTCCTCTCAACTTGTGGGCTTGACTACAGACTATTCAAACTCTTTGTGGATGCCTGGCTTCTACACTTTTCATGTTTATCACCTGACTTGGTGTAGAGCCTTCATTAGAAAATCTTGCAGAGCAATATGCCCACTGGTGGTAATTCCAGAACATGACAGATCCTTCTACAACTTCCACCATCTGCAGGACGAAATAAATCAAATGTCAAGATTTTGCCAGATTTGACAAAAATGATTATACTGACAGAAAATTTATACCCTATATTCTGCAGCCAAATTTCCATCAAGCATTTTTGCACCAAATTTATTATTTTACTCTGTCTAACGGAAAACAACTTTACTCTGTCAAATGCCAAATCATTATGTTTTACTATATGTCTAATGACAGACAATTTTATTTGTTAAGTGGAGAGTCTGGAACATTAATGGAACAAATATTTAATAAAATAACAAAGGACTAAAAGTAGGGCACATTGCTTCTAAATATGCCAACACAGCAGCTTTTGCGGTTAATTATTAACCTTTCAATAACCAACACTCATCTTGATGAGTAAAATCATCTGATAATTAACTATCAAAGTACTGAAGGTGAGGAGTGTTAGGATGAATTGCATCTAAATGTGTTAACAACAAACAATGCAAAATAGTCTGGTGTTAGACAGGCCAAAATATTGAGCTTTGAAATAGAGCAGATTAGTGTGAATTGGGTCTTAAAGAGTTTACACATAACACAGGGGGACAGTGAGATCAGTGGCGTAACTACTATGGGCTCGGACCGGGAGAACCCGGGGGCCCTCAGCCCCAACGGGGGCCCCCAGGCTCAGGCTATAGCCTATAGAGCAACAATGCCATTCTCTGACCATCAGAATTATGTAAAATCTCTCCCCAAAGTCTGGGAAATGGCATTTCAGAGAGTCTAGATTCAAATATTTTCTGGGTGAGCATGCTCTAGACCCACTAGAAAACTTGTGCATATACGGCGCTCGACTTGTGGCTCTGGCAATTTTACTAGGGGGGCCTTCGAAAAGTTTGAACCGGGGGCCTTCGAAAAGTTTGAACCGGGGGCCCCTTGATATAACGTTACGACACTGAGCAAAATAACCTATCAAAGTTGTCCACTCTCTTTCACAAGTAAAATATTTGATCTGGTGTTAGACAAGGTAAAATAAAAAAGTACTGAAAGTTGAGCATATTCATCCTAACGAGTTAGTGTGAAATGTAAGTAAAGAGTCTCGTTAACTTGAATATACCATCACATAGTTAAATGTTAATTTCATAAAAAAATATGGAGAATTTTCCTGGCATTACACTAAGGCTAACATATTTTAATTCATATTGACTGGTGCAATTACACCTCTCCCAATGAAATATCAATTTTAATTGGATATCAGAATCTTAGGAAGGTTGCTGCTGATTTGAGCAAGTAGATAAATTTTCAAACTATATATGTAATATGAGCATGCATATAGTACTATATAGTCTATATGTATAGGCATGCTTAATGTCTGCAATTAATCTTGCATATACAGTTTAATTTTGAAACAAATGATAGCGATATTACATTTATTAAACGACGTTTCGATGCTACAGCGTGCATCATTTTCAAGTTATAGTATTACATATATTGCGTTGATTTAAATTAAACCGTTCGTGTCACGTTAGCAAATTATTGCGTAAGCATGCAAAATTTAAATTTATATGACGTAATAAATTACATAAATTACATTTAAAAAACGGATACCTACAACTACAAGCTCGCAAAATGGCTCGACGAGAAGCTAAAGCCTCTTTCCACCAACGAGTACACTATTCCTGATCCCCTCTTATTCTCCGAAGAATTGCGAAAGAAAGAAATCCAAGATGGTGAAATCCTAGTCTCGTATGATGTTTCCTCCCTCTTTACCAACGTCCCGGTTGATGAGACAATAGAAATCCTGGTAGACAAAGCATTTCATAACGAGTGGTTCAACAAGACATATCATCTACAACTCGAAAGATCGGAACTAGCCAACTTGTTGAACTTGGCTGTGAAGAACCAACTTTTCCAGTTAGACGGTAAGCTGTACCAGCAGGTAGACGGCGTTGCGATGGGATCACCACTTGGCCCCTTGATGGTGAACACCTTCATGTGTTCCATTGAACAGAAACTCGTTGACAACAACCGTATGCCCTCGTTTTACCACCGTTTTGTTGATGACACCATTACCACCCAACGAAGTTTAGCATCGGCGGAAGATTTTCTTAATACCCTCAACAACTGCCATCCATCCTTGAATTTTACAATGGAATGTGAAGTCGACGGGAAGCTGCCTTTTCTTGGTATGGAAGCGATAAGAACGCATGGCCATATCGAAACAAAAGTCTACGTCAAACCAACAAATACCGGCCTCCTTCTTCACTACCAAAGCCATGTCGATCGTAGATATAAGAAATCATTGATTACTACCATGCTAAACCGTTTATCGTCATCCTGGAAACACTTTGTGGAAGAGTGTGATCGTCTAAAGAGCGTTTTTGCCAATCTACGATATCCTCTCAGACTCGTTGACTCAATCATCTCTGAGTTTGTAACCAAGAAATACGCAGAAATCAACAGCACGACCCCAACTGAGTATGTGAAAAGAGATGTGATTTGCGTGGCCCTGCCGTTTAAAGATCAGAAGTCGTCTGATATCGTGCGAAGACAACTCGCAGGCCTTGGTACGGTGATTGGTAGAGCATTAGAGCCAGTATTTAAAAGTAGAAAGATCAAAGAAGAAGTTAAAGTTCACGAGATGAAACCACCAATTGTAAATCAACAACGCGTTGTGTATAGATATAAATGTGATCTGTGCGATGCAGATTATGTTGGCTATACTAGTCGGCACTTACATCAGCGCATTGATGAGCACAAGCGATCGGTAATCGGGAAACATATGAGGGAAGATCACGAAGAGGATGTGTCGAGAATTGAAGGTTGCTTTTCAATTCTACGAAAATGCCAAGGAAAGTATGAGTGTCTTCTATACGAAATGCTGTATATTAAGGAACTATCGCCGTCCTTGAACACTCAATCGGACTCGATTCGTTCAAAACTTTATACTTAATCCTATAATTAATGGGCTTTATGTTTGTTTTGTTTAGTATGTTTGTTTGTTGTTGTTTTTTGTGTACATGTTATATATTTATGAAAGACAGAAATATGGTTAATCTGTTTTATGTTTTCTTTTAAATGTAATTTATGTAATTTATTACGTCATATAAATTTAAATTTTGCATGCTTACGCAATAATTTGCTAATGTGACACGAACGATTTAATTTAAATCAACGCAATATATGTAATACTATAACTTGAAAATGATGCACGCTGTAGCATCGAAACGTCGTTTAATAAATGTAATATCGCTATCATTTGTTTCAAAATTATTTTCAAAAAAGTTTTTGATTAAAAGTTCATATACAGTTTATAGCATATACAAATATATTAACCAATAAACATTGAAAAGTCTAATTCAAATATAAAACTCTTATAGTAGCATTTATTGAAGTATAAAAGACAGATAAATATATTTATATCAGCGTTCTAATCCATTATTGTCGCGGCAAATTCAAATTTTAAACCGATCGAAACACATGTGACATGCTCGAATTTCACGAATGAATATTGGACAAGGTATTCCTTTATAATTTGCTTTATTATAAACAAAATATAAACATATGCTCACCTGAACATTATACAAACATCGCTGATGTATTACTAGTGAAAATCCAGTTGAATCTCATCAAAAATAGTTCTATTTTGAACATATAAAGCATTCACAAACAAAAAATTTATAAAATATCGGAGGTGTGATGACCTATCCCAAGATGCTTTGTGTGTGTGGCAAAAAACTAGACACCAGTCTGTTGGTCGCGCACATTAATTGCGGTAATTATTCATTTAATTAATGTTAGAATAAATTTATTTTCCAATCCTATAGGAATTTTTATTTCCTATATGTATATTAGTATATATATAGGAATTTCGTTTTCCTAAAGGAATTTTTTCACCATTTTCAAATCTTATATGAATTCTTATAGGAATTTTCAAATCCTATAGGAATTTCATTTCTTATAGGAATTCCTATAAGAAATTTTCGTAAGTGTTGGCATAGCATTGCCATAGAAATCATATGCATATGTATGGATTCTCTATTGGAGGCCAGAACCACACCAAGTTCAGACTCCATATAATTCCCATAGATATGGGAAGTATATGGCACAACCAAGTGTGGACTACCATATAATTCCCATATATGGGAATTATATGGGACAACCAAGTGTGTATATAATTCCCATAGGTATGGGAAGTATATGGGACAACCAAGTGTGGACTACCATATAATTCCCATAGAATTGGTTATATGTAAAAGCATGCCATTGATATGGATTACCTATGGACCAAGTAACCCCACAGATTTCCCATAGGATTAATAGCAATGTGTTTGTTTCCATAGCTTTTCCATATCTCAATATTTAACAAATTTAGACACCATACCAATCCCACATGATATCTATATTGTCCCATATCATGCCCACATATGGGTCATATATGGCCCAAACTTTGCCATATCTTTCCCATACTTTTGCTTTGGTAAGGGTTATTAAACTCTAGCTAACTAGAGTAGCTGGTATAATTTACTTATTCTTAACAACTCCGTAAAGTAGAGCTGAAACTTGTCTTTGTGTATGGAATTGCTACAATCCAAACAATAGTATGCCCCACAACCACAGTCGCGACAACGTGTTTCTGCTTGCTTGGTGCAACCATCTTCAATACATTTCGAAGGGGCAAAACCATCAAGTCGGAGTGATGTCTCTATCAATTTCATGCGAATCTTTTGCCAGTTTAAAGAAAGCCTGGTTTTTCGTACTTTATATGATGTATCAGTATTCTCAGCCAAAAATTCACAGTCACTTTCCAACTCGTCGTTGTCATATCCAACATGCTCTGTAGTTGTGGCTGTTGTGCTAGAACATTGAGATTGAGAATCGCCAGCACTGGTTTCTTCATTTACTTCTAAATTCAAAACCGGTGCAGGCAGCTTAACCACTGATGATCTTTTTTTCACTGCATCCACTATGCGGAGGCTGGGATTGCCCTTCCTTTTCCCTGGCTGAAAAACATAACTATAATTTTAAAAGTTAAAAGTTCGCTAAAATAGAAAATAAAAAATGGCGCCATTTATTTTGAATATTTAATAAGGTGATCAGTATGAGAATTCCCGCACCCCCTGGTAACAATGATATGAACCATTACAACCCAATACTTTATTGCATACAACAGCTTTACAATTACAATAGATTATTGGTTACAACGTGCGGAACAGGTGCAAATTTGAGTTGGATGCAGTTTACAGAATCAGCATGCATTTCAAGTGTATTTTAAGATTGAAAAATACATCCAGAGCCATGAAACCTTATATAAGATACTATTGCCGAAGGCAAATGTTGCACTATATTAGAGTGATCAGTGCAATAATAATGGCTTTTGTTCAAAGTGAAATTTCTTTTCGGCATTCACTCTCGAATCACTTAAGAAATACATCCAGGGCCATGAAAGCTTATATATAAGGTAATATAGTACAAAGCAAAATTAATGTTGCACTATAACATGGGTCAACTACAGTATCAAGTTACTGTATTTTAAAACTTTATTTATTTATTTATTTGCTGACCACTATAATCCCACGATACTTAACTTTTCAAAAACTAAATATTGGTTGTTTGCAAATTGGAAAATATTAGTGAAGGAAAAATACTGTTTTACGCATGCAGTCCTGCATACTTGGTTAGTTGATTCACTTGAAACTATACCCCTTATAGGGAATACAAATAACTACTGCTATGTATTACCTTCGATTGTCTTCGGTGCTTTGTGTATGAATATGACTTCACAGAAAATGGTTTACAGTGCTTCAACTACCAAAGGATCCGCGATAATTCATCAAACGTGGCCCATAAATATCATGTGAAGTTCACTTCGCCACCATGTGACTATCAAATATCCAGTCCAATTTCGAAAGGTTTTTTTACTCTTCTTTCTCCATTGATTGTAATGTTTATAATGTGTAAATATGATATCTAAGCAGTTGTATAGATTCCTGTATGTATAGATGATTAAAAGTTTATTTTATGATCAAAAACCTCACAAATGGCAACAAGGATGTAAAACTTTAGTTTTATAAACAAGACTCAAAGTTTATCAATGGCGACATCAGTAAACCTACCAAACTTTCCAGAGTTTGAGTTGCACCCGAGCGAAAAACACTCCGACATGATTTGAAAAGTATATCAAGAGATTAAAGAACATGTTTGAAGCTATGAATATCACCAAAGATTCTCAGCAGAAAGCCATGTTGTTGCATTACGTCGGAGAAGAAACCTCTGACATTCTCGAAATGCTCAATGTACCCGAGCCAACCGAAGGAAGTGATGTCTTCAAGATTTGTGTCAAAGCCCTTGCAGAATATTTTGAGCCACAGAAATGCATTGATCACCACCGTTTATGTATTTCGACAACAAACATAGAAGTCAGGTGAGAACATTACTGAATTTTATACTCGTTTACAATTGCTTGCATGAAAGTGTGAATTTTCCAATTCTGATTTGGAAATAAAACGTCAAATTATTCAAGGCACTTCATCACTTAGACTGAGACAAAAATCAATTGAACAAAGTCTTACCCTAGAAAATGTGCTCAAAACTACACAAGCCATGGAGACTGCTAATGAGCACACTAGTGAAATGGAAAAACTGCAATCAAATGCAGTAGGTAAATATAATCCTACTAAGTTTACTAAATCTAAGAAAGATCCTAACCAAAGGAGAGTGCCTCACAAGACGAAGTGTGGATTGTGTGGTGGTAATTATCCACATCGGGGTAAATGCCCTGCCCAAGGGAAAAGTTGTCACAAGTGTGGAAAATTGAATCATTTCTCTAAGGTTTGTCGTAGTAAATCAATTTAAACCACCAGTGGGTAAAGAGCATGCTAAAACTGTAACAGCAGAAAACCATTCTAGTGAAGTAAGTCGTATTGAGAAATCTGACAGTGATAATAGCGAAGAATATACATTTACCACTGGTGCACAGGTAAACCAACTTAGTAAACCTATCTTTGAAGTAAAAATTGGGAACACTCCAATTAGAATAATGGCAGATTCAGGAGCAACAGTAAATATACTGAGTGAACAAGATTTCAATTGTCTTGTACCAAAACCCCAAATATCGGAAATCAAAACCAAAAACTAAATCTAATCAAAGCAGTCAGTGTTATTATTAATCAACCAGATCCAAGTTTACCACCCAATGCACCTGAATTTGTTAGGGATTTTCCCAACCTTACCAGTGGGATTGGTCATTACAAAGGGGAACCAGTACGTATACATGTAAATGAAACTGTTAAACCAATAGCATTACCACATCGCCGTATTCCATTTCATGTCAGAAAACAAGTGGAGAAGAAGCTAGAGCAACTCGAAGATGAAGGCTAAGTAGAACGTGCCGAAGGCCCCACTCCTTGGGTTTCACAGATAGTAGTTGTACCAAAGCCTCATAAACCCAATGAGATACGTATTTGTGTTGATATGCGAGCACTAAATAAAGCTATTATCCAAGAGCGACATATCATCCCCACCATTGATGATGTAGTACATGATCTTAAGGTTTTCAGCAAAATTGATTTAAATCAAGGCTACCATATCAGATTCCACTTCATCCTGATTCTAAACCACTAACAACCTTCTCGACCCACATAGGATTGTTTAGATATAAACGCCTTAATTTTGGACTTTCTTGTGCAGCTGAAATATTTCAGAAGAAAGTTAGTGATGCAATTCGTGGTATATCGTGTGTGAATGATATCCGGGATGATATTTATATTGGTGGCATCGACAATGACGACCATGATCTTCAGGGCAATGGGTTGACCATTAATCTTCCAAAATGTCAGTTTCAATGTCGTTTTACAGTAGAATATCGTCCTGGTATTTCCAATCCAGCTGACTATTCCTCAAGACACCCAATGGGAGATCCGGAATCTCAGAAGTATGAAGACGAAGCTGAAGAACACATTGCTTTTGTTGCAAAGAATGCTGTGCCGAAAGCTGTCACATTATCCGAGATAGAGTCAGTAGTTGCAAATGATCCTACCCTTCAAGTTGTTATGTCTGCAGTTATGTCTGGTTGCTGGCATAAAGCTCCACCCAATGTATCACTGTCAGAATTATCCCGTTATGAGAAAGTTAAAGAACAGTTGACTTGTACCGAATCTTTGCTCCTAAAGGCAGATCGTATCATTGTACCTGCATCGTTACAAGAATGAATAGTCAACATCGCCCTCCTCAGAGAGAAAGTGTGGTTCCCATGCATGGACCGAATAATGGAAGATAAGGTTAAAGTCTGTTTACCATGCCAAATTGTGACACCGATTTACACCAGAGAACCACTCCAGATGTCTGTCTTGCTGGACAACCCATTTGACGAAGTAAGTATTGACTTTGCGTTGGTGAATGGGGAAACTCTTCTTTTGCTGGTTGATGATTATTCAAGATTCCCGTTTGTTGAACCAGTGTCATCCACCTCGGCGAGTGCCATCATACCGACGTTAGATAAGTTATTTGCCACGTTTGGAATACCCCTGGTAGTTCGGACAGATAATGGACCACCATTCAATGGTGATGAGTTTGTCAAATTTTCTCAAGTGCTTGGTTCCAAACATCGAAAAGTTACACCACTTTGGCCTAGAGCCAATGGCGAGGTTGAAAGGTTTGTCAAGACCTTAAAGAGATACATCAAAGCTGCGAAGACTGAAGGAAAGAACTGGAGGAAAGAGTTACAAGTATTTCTAAGCAAATACCGAACAACTCCTCATACCACCACTGGCGTAGCTCCTAGTGTGTTATTGATGAAATGTGCTGTCCGCAACAAGATCCCTCAAGCCAACAATGTCGACCCTGTTTCTGAAATAATTCGAAAGCGTGATTCATCACAGAAAATGAAGATCAAAGCATATGCTGACAAGAAGTGTTATGTAAAACCTTCTGATATCAACCTTGGTGATTCAGTATTAGTAAAGCGACCATTCACCATGAGTAAAGGATCAACAGTTTATAATCCTAACCCAATGACGGTTGTTAGAACGAAAGGGAGTATAATCACCGCCAAGAATGCAGATGCCTCCATAATGAGAAATTCATCATTCTTCGAGAAATTAACCTTTCAAGAAATCAGCCCTCCGCATGTTGAAGAATACACTGAAGAGTCCCAAATCCCGGTATCTTTCCCAAAGGTAAATCCTCCTACTACATCTGAGCGTCAAAACCCTCCTACACAAGAAGTATCAGAACCACCACCACCACAAGAAAGTTCCAGTAATAAAGATATCCAAAACGGTCCTGTTGAAATTCTGACTATTGTACCTGAAACTGATCATGAAAATGAACAACAACCGCCACTACGAAGGTCAACAAGGAGACAAATTCCTAGGAAAATACTTGATCTATAGAAACTAGGTGTATGGATTATGATCTGGTTATCTTAAAGTAAAAGGACTAGATAAGTATTTGGTATTACATTATATTGTTTATTAATTATTGCTTAGGAAAATGACATTAAATAGAGTAAGAACCTTTATTAACATATCGAATGAAAGTATCAAAGCTGATATTTCATCCTGATAATTAGAACTAATTAGTTAATTTTATAGAACATATAGACATTATAACTAGAAGGAAGGAGATGTAATGTTTATAAGCTAATTTATGTAGTATAATCTATTTGTATGTATAATTAGTAGCAAAGCCCGCAATGCACTGCTGGGTATAAAAGAACGTGTAAATATGATATCCAAGCAGTTGTATAGATTCCTGTATGTATAGATGATTAAAAGTTTATTTTATGATAAAAAACCTCACATTGATTAATATAAATATATTGATGAAGTACTGAATTAAAGTTTAATTCAATGTTGGCACTGCATTTGTGTCCGTAAACGTCTCTACATTTCTTTATTTTATAGTGTTGATGGAACAAAACAAACATCATTCGTTCCTTGACAGCCGCCATAGTTGCGCATTTTAAAAATGTTTTTAAAAAATAACATCATAAGTTTTGAGTGCAAAATATGTGACGTAGAAATAATTCTCCTCTTAATTAAAATACCTGTAGCTGTACAGGATTAAATAATGAATAATAAGCACTACGACGGTTGCATCGTTAAAAGGACATATTTTATCTCCATATCCGTTCCGTGCATCCTCATCCGCTTCCGCATTTTAACCTGATTGTGACATGTTTCACAACAACAAGTCCATTGACCTTTGACTTTATATTCCCAAGATCAAATGACAAGTTGCTTTTCATGAGTCATTTTCAGCTTTTCGCAAGTATTCAATAATTTTCACTTTAGATGTCAATAGTTTTACAGTTATATAGCAGTGTTTATAGCAGTTTTGATAAAGCTTTGATACAGATAGATTCTTGTAAGATCTGGTAGAGTTCTCATTGTATTTTGCCATTAAATACTGCATTGAACACGAGTTTGCACGGTTGACGTTGTGCCAGACATGTGAACAAGGCCCGTGACTGTACATTTCATACTGTAAAGTGATATAATTTGGCTATTTCCTCCTCTTTCTCGTTTGAATAAAGAGCTCTGAATAAAGAGTTCCGAGGGAAAGACCCTTTACACAACACAAAAACCAACGAGATGCAAATGTTATAAAATTTGCAATAATGACAACGATTCCTCGAAATTTTTGTGAACTTGGCAAAAGGCCTAAAGAATATTGAAATAAGACAACTGAAATTTCCTAAATAACCTTCAAAACACTGACTAAGTACATTAAATCACTACGAACATAAATCGTATACAACCCCCCGGAAAGTTGACTGACTGACTGACTGACTGACTGACTGACATATTGACGTGCCCTATTGTAACTTAGCGTGTGCCCTAGTGTAACCTAGCTGTGCCCTAGTGTAACCTATCAAGTTACACTAGGGCAAATGTGCCCTTGTGTAACTTAGTGTGTGCCCTAGTGTAACCTAGCTGTGCCCTAGTGTAACCTAGCTGTGCCCTAGTGTAACTTAGCTGTGCCCCAGTGTAACCTAGCCGCTGGTAACAAAATGGCAGGCCCAAATTGTCATTATTCAGTGGAATGAAAATAATATATTACATGTTAGTGTCTAATGTCTTTGTATTTTCAACTATTTTGCTTTAATAATCATATCAAATACGAGTGTTTCTTGTAGCAAGGTGGTAAATCGATAATATATTGATTCATTTGAGTAGAAATGGATTTGTTCCATGGGATATAAAATATGGGATTGAATTGAAACCTCATAGACCTTGATCATGACTCAAGGAGATGTAAAACGAAAGAATTTACAGTATTATATTGGAAAGATATTTTCTAAGAAGTGAGTTCATGGTAAGTAAACAAGAAGTTTGTTGCTTTTTCTATGATATTTGTAATTTGTCCTTGAAGGTGTACAACTGAGTTGAAGGTGATGTTAAAACAGCATATTTGCTTTATGCATGAGCACTGTATTTTACAGTATTAAAAAGTAAATTAATACTGTGTGTGTGTTGACAGTTGTAAAGAATACTTCAAGTATTAATTATGCCTGACTGGTATTTTTAATTTGCATTTTCATTCACCTGGTAAATGTTTTTTTAATAAAAGCACTGATGCATTGTGCACTAGCTTGTGATAATGTTTCAGCTTTACCGGATAAAAGAAGAGTGCATCACCACAAGTTTCATATTCTGCCTCTGTCAAGTTTATATATGGTCTAATATAAATGTAGTTAAAATCTTATAAATAAGGTGCTCAATATCGAAGCATAGAGGATTAGTAAGAAAAGACAAACTTTGTTTGATGCTTGTGATGTTACTCTGAGTGTATATCCACACCAGGCAGGCTTGATAAATATGCCTGGCCACGGTGGGAGTCGAAGCTACGACCTTTGGAATACCAGCCCAATGCTCTGGCAACTGAGCTACACGGTCAGGTCGGGTCCGAGTATGTGATATTTTGGAACTGAGTCTAGTTCCTTCGATATCAGTGTAATCTAGTAATCATGATATTTGCTGTGTTGTTGTAATGTACTCAGGTGAATAAGATGCTTGTGTGATGTTACTCTGAGTGTATATCCACACTGGGCAGGCTTGAAAAATATGCCTGTGCACGGTGGGAATAGAACCTACCACACCTTTGGAATACTATAGCCCAAACTGAAAGCTCTGCCAACTGAGCTACATGCATGGTCAGGTCGTTTTGAGTACCAGTATGTGATATTTCAGAACAGAATCTAGCTCCTTCGATACCAATGTAATCTAATAATTATGATTTTTTCTGTTGGTGTAATGTACGTCCTCAGGTGAATATGATGTTACTCTGAGTGTATATCCACACCGGGCTGGCTTGAAAAATATGCCTGGCCATGGTGAGAATCGAACCTACTGTATGACCTTCGGAATACTAGGTTCGATTCCCACCGTATGTTCGATTCTCATCATGGCCAGGCATATTTTTCAAGTCTGCCCAGTGTGGATAGCCACTCAGAGTAACATCACAAGCATCTTATTCACCTGAGTACATTACAACAACACAGCAAACTTTGTTTACTTCATAGGATTGATTAGCACTACAAATTTGTTTTGTATGGGTAGGCTATGCCGGCCACACACATCAAGTGTGGTGGGCATAGCCTACCATACAAAACTAGTTTGTACTGTTAATAAATCTTATGAAGTAAACAAAGTTTGTCTCTTCTTACTTATATATACTGTATATACGGTACTGCCATGTTAATTAGATATGGGTAAAAATTAAATGAATAGTTGACAAGTTTTATAGATGGAATTGCAGAGTAGATTTATATACAATTAACCAGCAAGTCTGCCAACAAGTTGTGTTCGCACTGCTTCTCCCAAGTTGTCAACAAGTTTGGAACAAGCTGTTAACAACTTGTAACAAGCTTGTTGATATTATAATCAGACTTATTGCAAGCTTGTCCCTCCAACAAGTCTGCTACAACTTGTAACAAGCTTGTTGATATTATAATCAGACTTGTTGCAAGGTTGTTCCAACAAGTCCAATACAGTCATGATACAACAATATTGTTACAAGCTTGTGTCATCAATCTCATAACATTCTTGCATGTTATATAACGACTGTAACAAACTTCTTAGAACAATCTTGTAACAAGTCTGATAATAAAATCTTGTTACAACAACTGGGAACAAGCAGTGGAACACAAAACTTGTCAACGGCTTGTGAACATGCAGACTTGTAACAACTTGTTTGAAAATGCAACTACAGGTCCCTGACAGGAATCAAACTTGTGGTCCTACTCATTCAAGTGAAATGCAAAAAAATTAATATTTACCCATACTTGTTTAATGCATTTATTTAGCATGTATTAGACTGCATTAGCAGCTAATGCAATGTAAGGCAGTCTAATGCAGTCTGTAAAGTAGTCTAATGCAGTCTGTAAAGTAGTCTAATACATGCTAATGCAGTGTAATTGTACTCTAATGATTCAGTGTAATGAACTGCAGGGCAATACTTGCTAATGCAGTCTAATGAAGTGTAATACAGTTTAATGCATGCTAATGCAGTCTACTACATTGCATTATCTTTCATTAGACTGCATTAGCCTGCAATTAGTAGGTGTTTTACTATATATTTCTTATGGCAGCCAGCAGTTTTGAATTTTCATGCAATAATTTTGAAACTGATTTGAATGAAAACAGCTGGCTACCATGTAGAATCTATAGTAAAACACATGGCTATACCATACCATGCAGAGATATTAATTACATAAGGAATAGCTTACTGTACACAGTTGCCAGTGTCCAGCTACTGTTTGGAAGTCGGAAAAAGGCATGAAAAAAGGTGTCACCATATGCTTTGTTGGTGTGCATAATTTGCATGGTGGTGTACGGTTATGTGTATTCAGTTGTATGACAGTGGTTCATCTGTCATGCAAGATGTTACATGTATAACTTGTCTCTTTAATAAAATATAATTAATGTTTGCTTTTCCGTTTAAGCTTCTATATAGACTGGAACACATAAGTAGATGAAACCAAAGTAAAGGCAGTCATCACCAAGCTGTTAAATACTGATAGAGCCAAGAAGGTTAACTGTGTGAACATTGAGACTGAACATTGGTTTTAAATGGATAAAAAGCTGTGTTTTTATATTTATAAGCTTGCATTTATTTATTGTATATCTGTGTTTATTGTTCTGTTGAAAATATAAATAACTGTAATATTGATATTACAGTATGTTAAAGGAGTTTTTTGTATGAATTTATCTGTGATCGACTGACAAAATTTAAAGGTTTGAGTTTTTCCTGAACAAATGTTTAATAATAATTTGCCAAATAATTATCTAGTTTTTCTATAAAATCCTGTCGTGATATTTGAAGGTGTTTCCATGAGGTTTGCCCATATGATTCCATAGGAAATGTTCCAATTCCCTATACAGATTATGGCATTTATGCAGAGGAAGATAGGCCACGTCTTACATAAGACGCAAAAACACACATACTGTATAATGGTTAAATTCTACTAAGTCGCATCTTATTGTGGAACAGTCTGAACCCCTGTTCTTATTTAAGTCGCGACTTAGTACAATTTAACCATTTATACGAGTGTTTAGCACTATTGTGTAGAAGTTCTATACAGTAGGTTTCCTATAAAAACTCTTATAAGAAACCTATAGGCAAACCTATATATACTGTACATATGTGTTTATAAAGGCATTAGAGAGTTATATATATTATTTTACTCTAAAATGTAGAAACCCTTTCAATGAAAATCCCAATACATATTCCACTACTTATTACAGTATGTACATTACAGTTTTGTCACTATTATTTTACTCTAGAAAGTAAAACCCTTTTAATTAATAAAAAAGTAAATCATGCAGTACTGTAGTTTGATATTTGCAGTTTGTTGGCAGTATAGCTTCCCGTAAATCAGATGTTCTTTATATATTGCCTGGTCATGTTAAAAAAGCACAGCTCTTATAAAAATTAAAGTCCAGCATAAACGTTTTGTCATAACTACAACATCTCCAGAGACTAATTACAATATCACAGTATTACACAGGTTTTTAACTCATTAACGCGCAAGCTGTTACAATGTTTCTACTCCCCTAACGTGCAAGCAATATGGCGAATACGTGACTGAATTCAAGAGCTTTCACCAAAATGGCAATATCTCAGAAACAGTTGCATGAAAAAATCTGGTCTTTTCTTAATATATGATTGACCAAATTTAGTTTAAATGAACTTGCATACCTATATATATCATTAGTTTTTTCAATGAGAATTTTTATTTGTAAACCAGTGACACTATTTTTTTCATGTCACTCATCACCTAAAGGGGCAATATCTCCATATATTTATATAAAAACAAAAAAAAAATTATTTACTAAATTAGTACATATCTATATTATAACCAATTTTCATCTATTGGGATATGAATTAGAAAATGATCAAAAATTATAAAAAATACTCCTTTGCTTTTTTGGGCAAGATGTTTACAACATGAAATTTAGAACAGTAACTAAGTGTTAAAATTCAACAAAGTGTGCAAGCCAAAACACAGTGCTTGTACATCTTTGGAGTTTTTAATTACCTCAAATATATTTAAAAGGACATACGGTACTAGAATTTATTTATTTTCAATATAAACCAAGGATGGGAAGGTGAGAAAATAGGAATTTTCTGAGGTGTTTTTAACACAGTAAATGACAGCCGACATTTTCAAAGGCAAATTGCGGTGACAAAACCAAAAGTTATTCACTTCTCTATACTCAAAGCACTGAAAAACACCATAAAGAGAAAAACATTTTAAACATACATCAGGTAAGCCTTTTAGCTCAATTTTCGCATGTTTCTGTCTGGAAAGAAACGGTTTTTAGCCAAAATTATTTTGTGTGCCAATGTAGGCTGCTATAAAATGTCAGACACGCGTTCTCTTTTGAAGTCTGGCTCTGAAAAACAATCGCTTTTTTTTAGTTTGAAATAAGCTTTCATTAGGACTAATTGTGTAGAAATGTTATCTGTATGCTCAAATGAAAAAGATAACCTAATAGTCAGGTATTCAACATAGCTATAAAAGGGTGAAATAAGGACTTTCATCTTTGGTTGTTTGTCAGACATGAGAAACCACATTAGTGCCATTTTGTCGTGCGTGCTATTTTATAAAATAAACACCTCAAAACCATAAATTTTTAGTTCAGAAAATTACAAAGTTTCCCATAGACATTATTAAAAATGTTCTAGTGAAGCGATTTCATGATAAATAAGCGAGCAATGGGCCCAAAAGGACGGCTAAATTATGTTTTTGTTGGGACTTCAGTTTCATGGCTTCCCGCAAAGGAAGCCATTTCAGAGAGAAGCGACAACAACGGCAAACAACTGTCGCGACCAAATTTTGATAACTTTTCCTTCTGATTCAACATGTAGTTACTAGAAAATGAGGTTGGATCAACATTACTATCTGTCTTATCGATTTAAAGTTTTATGGGGATATAAAACCCAATACAAAAAGCATTTTAAAAGCTTTAGAACTCAAGTGCGGACTTTTTGAGAATTCGCACGCGGCAAGCAAGTGCATTAATTCAATACACTTATTTCAAACCACAATATGTCTGAAATGAGTTGTCATTTTAAGACTAAATTGATGAAAATAGATATAACAGTGATTTTGGAGTACCTTACTTACTTAGTGTAATTTAATACTCGAAGTATTCTTGCCAAATAGGGCACGTACGCACACAGTAATTTAATCTGGTGTCGTTTGAAACATACTTTAGCTAAAATAACAACTTGAACAAGAAGACTAACAATGGGGTTACGAAAACAGTCGAAATTGTGCCCAAATTTGCATAAACAGTTTGTATAAAAAGATAACTTTAAACTAGATTCAACCAACATTAATGCAGTCGAATTTTGTGAGTGTTTGATCGCATATTTCTACTCAAAAATACACTTTAAAAAATCGTATCTGCTCACTTGTGTTCCGTGTTCATCTTTCTTGTGATTTCCGATCCTATTTTTAATAAAGTTTCGAGAAATCCTCATTTTTTGGCCTGAAAATTTCGCGCATGGTTCACAGAAAAACTTGGCCCCAAAACGTCAATACATTCGCTTTCCTTTCATGCCAAATTTTCGTTGTAGTTGATTCAGAAACCTCTTCTTCTCTTGCTTTTAAAACTTGCTGTAAAATCTTTCTTTGTAACAGAATCGCCATTATTCATTATTTTTGGAAAACTAAGATTTTAAACTTTAAAACTTTGCGAGTTTCTGACCGATTTTCTTGCATGATACGCCGTTGAAAAGCTCGAATTTCACGTTCTATTTTCGTATCCGTTGCTAAGCAACCCGATAAACACGTGCTCAAATATCATGCCCGCAAGTTAAGGTGTCATGCCAGGGCGCATTCGGGCGCATTGTCCGTTACCCACTTGTCAATCTCAGGGCGCATACGGGCGCATTGGGCGTTAATGAGTTAAACTTAATGTAGAACTTATCAACCAATAAGAAATTATACAAATATATGGTTATAAAAGTTAATATCAAACTAAATAAGATAATTAATAGGTATTAAAACAAATGCAATGGACCAATACAATTAACATTTAAACACAGTTGGAGTTTTGAGATCAATTACTGTAAGAGCTTCTCGAAGACGAAGGATCAGCTCAGTTTCATATTTACATGCATGACATAATTATTTCAAAGTCATTGTGGGATATGAAATTATGTTTATTAATTGATGATTGTCATTACAACTAATAATTATCATTATAATTATCATTATCACCATTTTGGCGATTCATAGTCATAAGTTCTCTCGCAAAATGAGAGAGTCAATTGAAATCAAGAAGCACATGCAATACTATAGATCAGGAGGGAAAGCCACTAGATAGTACGTGGCATGCTCTCTTTAATGTGCAAAATTAATTTCTCTTGTCTTGGATGCGCGCGCGTTAATTGGAATCACTTCACTACATTTGAAATGACGTGGTTGATGTGCCGTTTAATTAAATTTCAAATGACGCGAGCCAACAGATCACGACACTCTTGTATATAAAAAGAGCGTGTGAATTAAACAAGTCACATATTATTAGCACTGATGAAGATCCAGGCTTACGGATCGAAAGCTTTGCAGTAATAAATTTACGTGGTGTTTCCACAAACAAAAACAATTAATAATTATCAGTTGTTGATGATCTCAAAACTCCAACCGCATGGCAATATACATGTACATAGGATCTGCCCCATTGTACAGTATATTTGTTAATTGTAATACCCTTTCAATATTCACCTTAAATACAGTAGTTTAATATTAACTGTTGTAAACCATATATTTGTATATATTCTTTCTTTCTTTTTGAATACCAGTTGATTAGTTTGTAGGTCAAGTTTCAAACTTGTGCAATACTGTGACTGTAATTCATTCTCTGACTGTTTTAATTACAATGAAATGTTTAGCCCTATTTACAAGATACAGCTTGTTGGATACCATTGTCATTTTGGTGTATATGGAATCAAGTTAATTAAACACCTAAAATTAACCTTCTTTAACCAATTATCAACTCTACTTTTTGTATACTCTTTGTATCACTGTATATACGGTACCATTTTACAACTTATACTGTATACAGTATCAGCAGTTTCATCACTATATATCTATATTAAAAATCAAGCTTCACCAACATCATCACAGTCCATGCATCATCATAACATAATTTACTAGAATCATCATTATCCACACCACTCCAATAGGCAATACTATCAGTCACACCGAATCGAAACTTCATTTCATTTCATCTCCCTCCACACACCATTTGATGTTCCCCCAGTAGAATGTCCCAACAGGTCAACAGGGCCATTTCACAGCATTCCAGTATCTGAATACCTGCAACCACCTTTACGATCCAATTCTAAAACAAACAACTAATAACTAGTAAGGTACGTAGTTAAATTATATTTGATATTTCTACAATTTTATGAAACAATATTTGAATTTTGTTTTAACATTGTAAATCTGAATTTATACCAAACTTTCACCTATTAGAGTATAAATGCTCAGAATAATTTAAAAGTGAAACAAACTGTTTAGTAACAATACTCAGTGTTTGATAAGTGTTTTCATTGGTTTACTATGATAATAACTTGCTAATTGGTTTTGTAAAACAACGTCAAGCCACCTTCAATGGTTGAGATTTAGTCAAACACTCATGAAATCTCAGCAACTTATACAACAAGTATAGACAAGTATTTTGGTGGCTAGATCTTTCATCTACTTTCAGTGAAACCGAATTTACATTGAGATGACATGTTAAAATTAGTGAATTTTGCTTAAGTATAGAGAAACGTAAGACCTCAGCTGAGAAACTCAAGCTAACACAAAAAGTGCCTAACAAAATTGTACCAAACTTTCAACTATTACAGTATAAATGCTCAGTATGATTTTAAAAGTGAAACAAACTGTTTAGTGATAATACTCAGCGTTTGAGAAGTGTTTTCATTGGTCATTGTGATTATAACTTGCTAGTTAGTTTAGAAAAACAATGTCAAGCCACCTTGAACGGCTCAGATTTAGCCTGCAAACACTCATGAAATCTCAGCCACTTATACAACGGGTATATAGACAAGTATTTTAGTGGCAAGGATCTTTGATCTACTTTCAGCGAAACCAAATTTATATTGCGATGACATGTTAAAATGAGTGAATTTTGCTTAAGTACAGTACAGTAAAGTAAGACTTCAGCTGAGAAACTCATGCTAACACAAAAACTGCCTAACAAAATCATACCAAACTTTCACCTATTAGAGTATAAATGCTCAGAATAATTTTAAAAGTGAAACAAACTGTTTAGTAACAATACTCAGTGTTTGATAAGTGTTTTCATTGGTTTACTATGATAATAACTTGCTAATTGGTTTAGTAAAACAATGTCAAGCCACCTTCAATGGCTGAGATTTAGTCAAACACTCATGAAATCTCAGCAACTTATACAACAAGTATAGACAAGTATTTCGGTGGCTAGATCGTTCATCTACTTTCAGTGAAACCGAATTTACATTGAGATGACATGTCAATATTCGTGAATTTTGCTTAAGTACAGTACAGTAAAGTAAGACCTGAGCTGAGAAACTCATGCTAACACAAAAACTGCCTAACAAATTTGTACCAAACTTTCACATACTGTATTAGGGTATATATACTAAAACTGTCTGTACCAGTGTAGGTAGTACCAATGTGAAAATGCTGCACTGAGTGGTTATATTACTACCTTAAAAAATAAGCAGAAACTCGAGTTTTGAGTTTCTGTACGTATTAGGGTATAAATGCTCAGAACAATTTTAAAAGTGAAAGAAACTGTTTAGTAATGATACTCAGTCTTTGAGAAGTGTTTCATTGGTTTACTATGATAATAACTTGCTAATTGGTTTAGTAAAACGTCAAGCCACCTTCAATGGCTGAGATTTATTCAAACACTCATGAAATCTCAGCAACTTATACAACAGGTATACACAAGTATTTTAGTGGCTAGATCTTTGATCTACTTTCAGTGAAACCAAATTTATATTGCGATGACATGTTAAAATGAGTGAATTTTGCTTAAGTACAGTACAGTAAAGTAAGACCTCGGCTGAGAAACTCATGCTAACACAAAAACTGCCTAACAAAATCATACCAAACTTTCACCTATTAGAGCATAATTGCTCAGAATAATTTTAAAAGTGAAACAAACTGTTTAGTAACAATACTCAGTGTTTGATAAGTGTTTTCATTGGTTTACTATGATAATAACTTGCTAATTGGTTTAGTAAAATAAAGTCAAGCCAACTTCAACGGCTGAGATTTAGTCAAACACTCATGAAATCTCAGCAACTTATACAACAAGTATACAGTAGACAAGTATTTTGGTGGCTAATCTTTCAGCTACTTTAATTGAAACCAAATTCACATTGAGATGACATGTGAAAATTAGTGAATTTTGCTTAAGTACAGTACAGTAAAGTCATACATGTCCAATATCACGATGCGACACGGATCGTGAATATAGTTCACGATCCGTAACACATGGTGAAACAATCACGATGCAACACAGATCGTGAATATACTTCACGATCCGTAACACATGGTAAAAAACCTCAAGCTGTGCATGTTTACCTCCAACAGTGCAACAAACACTAATCATGCAATTGATGCGCACTAAATCCGTACGATCCGTGCACATCGTGCGTATGGTGAAAATAAACAGATATTTTCATTCTTATTACTGTTTTTTATTCTTATTACATTTTCATTTATCATGCAATGTGTTTTGTTATTACAATAGCTCATATATGTTTACTGACATTTTCATATATGTAGTGTGTATGCGTCGTTCTCCAAAAGGCGAAACTAAAAGGAATGAACATATATTTTCATTGTTATTACCTCATGTATATTATACATTCTAAATAATATATTAATTCATGTGTATGTAGTGTGTATGCATCGTTCTCCAAAAGGCGAAACTAAAAGGAATGAACATATATTTTCATTGTTATTACCTCATGTATATTATACATTCTAAATAATATATCGATGCATGTGTATGCCTCGTTCTCCAAAAAAGCACGAATAAACACACATTCTCATTGTTAGCCTATATATAAGCTCCTATATATTAATATTATCAATGTGGCATTGACTAAATTATCAGTGTTATATATTAGCTACCTTATTTGCTTATGTCTATAGTCCTGAATCCTGATTTGTTTGTGGCTAGTGCGGTTTGCCTCGCATGCATTACATTTAAATATTGAAGCTCACTCAAGCGGGATTTTAACTGGTATATATTCACCGACACCACACTTGTCTAATTACTGGTTGTCTGGTTGGCTTTTTCTCATGTGATATCATCCAACAAAATCACTGCGAATCACTGTTTCTAAGTTAATAAGTTACGACACTAAGTCTAAGAATCACTGTTACGAATTTAAAACACTAAGAATCACTGTTTTAACTTTATAAGTTACGACGCAGTATCTGTCATTTAAAGGCGACAGTTTTATTGGCCCTTTTCATACTAGAGACGCATTATGCGTGTCTATGGACTTCGGCAAGCATTTATCATTCGCCTGGTTGAGTGTGTCTTCAATATAAAGACGGACGCAACATGCTAGACGAACTATGTTCAATTTTTCGTCTGAGACCCACACCAGTCATAGCTCGTCTACGGCACGCATAATGGGTCTGGTGCCCGCGTCTTTATAATAACGACACGTAACAAAACTACATATAGATTATTGATCTGATTATTTGTCCCGTCTTTATACAACACAAATTAGTGTACAGCTAGCACTTACAATAAGCCCAACCGCATAATACGTTCCTCTAGCATAATATATAATTATATAAACACGGCTATAATAGTTCACATCTATAGTCATTTATTCAACGTTATCTATAACCTATTCTAATTGTGTTTGGAACATGGTCATTCATGTTTATTCAGGTTATCAAACATATTTTCAAGTTTTTCTACTTTTACATCATAACATTAACAACTGATGACTGTCAATATTGACTACAATTCTCCATTGCCCATTGGCATTGAGGATTTTCTGCAATTCTTGTCAATTGTCTCTCGTCACCATTCAGATATATTTGCTGTGAAACATGTCATAATAAAACCAATAATGCATATTTCTTTCCATATTCAGGTTAATTAACACCTTTAAAAATAAAATTAAACAACACTTTTTGCTATACACAATTACCAATATATAAAACATACTTCTCAAATGTATATAATGACATATACTTTAGTCTATTGTAGCCCAGCATTGACATTGTAAAATTAAATGCATCTACAACATTATTATTAATTTATTCCCACTTCTTTTTCTCTCTTGTAAACATAGTGTATATACTTCAAAACTTTCTGATTTTACATGTTATGTATTGATTGACTGTAAATAATTGATTATGTGATAAAACGAACAGTAACTAGAGACCTAAAATAAAAAGTCTATGAAGATTTCTAGTAGGTCTCTAGCCCAACATCTTCAAATTATTGTAATATATTTTAAGTAGATTTTTATACATGGGAAAATAAAATTAAAAAAAAAATAAATCATTTACTTTGTTCCCAACGCTTTGTCGTTTTCCCCCTGCCCCAGTAGGTAGATGTAATAATCCATTTGTATGCAACCAATGGGGGGCAACCGTTTCCTACCAAGAACAATATCAATTTGAATGTCTCTTTATCCGAAAGCGGTTTCTTCCAAAGAATTAAACGCAGTTCTTTTGGCCAACTGTCTACGTTGTAAACACGTCTCCATCGAGAAGAGAGACTATTTCCAGTCGTTTAAACCCTTTCATCATGAAATACGAAGCGTCTGCAGGCTAACTTTCCCAACGCGCAAAACGATAAAAGTATACGTGTAATTAAATGATGATAAAAATCTGTGGTAATTTTCCCAAACTCAAAATAATGTATTTTATTTACAAACATGTAGTTCATAAATAAACAAATAAAATGAAGTGTTATTTACAACGTCAACCCGGTTCAGAATTTTTACCCACAAATTTATTGCCCTTTACCCGGCCGAAAAAAGGTGTCAACTGCTGCACAAAATTTGTTGACGATCCGTGCGGATGGTGCGCATGGTGAATGGTGCACATGGTGCCAGAGGGTAGACCCCAAAACACTGACGATCCGTGCGGATGGTGCGCAAGGTGAATTGGTTGACGGATGGTGGAAGTGGTTTCATGATCCATGAATGGTGCACATGGTGCCAGAGGGTAGACCCCAAAACAATGACGATCCGTGCGGATGGTGCGCATGGTGAATTGGTTGACGGATGGTGAAAGTGGTTTCACGATCCATGAATGGTGCACATGGTGCCAGAGGGTAGACCCCAAAACACTGACAATCCGTGGGGATGGTGCGCATGGTGAATTGGTTGACAGATGGTGAAAGTTGTTTCACCATCTGTGAATCACACACATGGTGGCACAGGGTGAAATATTGGTAAAATTGTAGACGGTTGGTAGTACTTTTTGTTGAAAATGAGTGGAGACAAAAATATTTACATACACATGTGTTTTGTTATCTGCGTTTTTATGGTGACATTAACTTTCGCGTATAATTTATACAGAGTATTTGTTGATCTAGTAGACACTTAACTGTGACGATGGTAATTACGATAACTACTATTGTGGTTTGTTGGCAGAGAATACAAATTTAAAATATATAATTTTAATTTGATCGTACCTGCTCTGGTAAACTTTATAAATATTGAGAGCATTCAGCGAATTATCCAATTTGCACGTTCAGAATAAATATTTGTTTGTATTTGTGTATTCTTAAATGATGAATGTCCATTGCACTGCACCGAGTGGGCATGTTTATTTATATATACAACTTTCGTTCTCACAAAGACACATTACCGGTAGAAGTATTTTTTCCTTGGTTTGTGGAGAATGGATATCAAACTGACAAATCAAACTCGGATCAAATTTATTTGGCGATCGTGCGATTAAACATGGGTATCCTAAGAGCTCCGTAACATGAAATATGGGTATCCTAAGAGCTCCGTCACACGTGTAGTTTGACATTAGCAGCCCTTCTGAAACACTTTAATGAAAGTATAGTTCACAAAATTCATATTTTCACTTACCCCTTAACATCTGTTTTAATGCAACTAGCTCTGTAGGCACGAGCAAAATGTGGTGTTGATGTAAATATCCATTTAGTTCATGTTTCCCCGGTGAAACTAGATATAGTCTATTCCAAAGCTGATTTCGACGTACTTTAGCTTTTCAGAAACCGCTGGCCTTCCTCAGTGAGATTATCAACTGTTTCAGAAACATATTTGATCGTAAACAGCTAAAATATTCTCCGAAAGTCTATATTTTTGTTCTTCGACGCGAAAATGGCAACTCAAGAAGAAATGAGCCGCTATTTTTGGTCAGCGTCGACAGATTGCTTCAGATCCATTACAACCCGCACGAAAAAAATCACAGCGTGAACCGCACTAATATAGTGCGGATCACGCTGTGATTTTAGGCCTCGCCAACACTTTGCCTGCAACTGCAGAACACCATAGACTGTCATCAATCAAGGAAAACTGATGTGAGGGAGAAGTTGAATATTATTTTTAATGCCTAACGCAATGATATTTGATTACAAGCTTGTTCACAAGGGGGCCAAATATTATAAAATTGATTCAACTAAAATAGCTCGCAGAATAAAACACAGGTGTACCCCGTTACGATTGTCAAACGATATGTGAAGTAGCTAGCTCTACTGTATTCTATAACTCGGCTCTTAAAATGTGGCTCTTAGACGATTGCAGCTTATCGAAGGTATAGGTCACCAGCAAAGTTTGCGCATAAAATCACGCTCAGATGGAACATAAATTAAATATAATGATGTCATGCACTCCATAAGTCTTTACGTTTTCATAAATCTATCATGTAGTAGCTATAGTGACTGCTGTGTCCTGCGTGTGACTGATTTAGTTTGAATTGCATGATATTTTAGACAACACGAAATAATTGAGAAAACATACATAGGCTACATACACACATACATACATAACATATCTCAAGTCAAAATATACCCTCTCAAGTCAGTAGACAGTATTCAGAGCTGAAAATGGCACATATATATTGCATGGGCATACTGTAGACTGTTTTGACCTGTGAAATTAATTCTATACCAATGTGTTCTCATTTTAATCAGTCATTTGAGGACGTTCTATTAGCTTCCACTGGTTAAGAAAAGATGGCACATCTT